CTTTTTTTCATAAAAAACATATAGCATTGTCATGTTTTTAGTAAAGTAAAAACTTAGTATTAGGTGTCAACCTTGTATCATAAAACTAAGGTGCACCTCAAAAATCCGCTCAAGAATGATGGTTTCGATGTTAAAGAACCCCACAATTGATCGTCATGACCTCCAAAATTATGGATGCATAAAATAAAAAAAAATCTAAGTCATAAAAGTAGTGCATCTTGTAATATATTATCTAAGAAAAAAATTTTTAAAAAAAAACCCAAGACCACACTTTCTATGCAACTTACCTCCAACCTAGCTTTTTCTCTCACTTGTTCCCCCAAAACAATATTTCTATGCAAATACTCTCCCAAGTAAAAAAGTTCAATTTTATTTATATGAAAATGCCCTTCTCATACACAAAAATCATTTTGACCAGATTTAACGTTGACTTTTGAACCCCAATAACACATTGTCGGAGCACAATCATCACATTACCAGAGCATATAAGTGCCGGACCGCCCTAAGACAACTACCAGACCAAAATTGAGTATGTCGAACTGCCGTTTACATAGTATCGAAACCTTGGAATCCAGTAACATCTATTGCCATACCTCCCTTTGCAACTGCCGGACCACACTTTACATAGTACCGGCGTCTACTACCAGACCGCACTTTACACTTAATACCCGGAGCCACTATTTTGGTGTGATAGAGGAGAGAGGCGTGGGTAAGATAAAAATAAGGGAGGGTAGTTTAGGTATTTTTTTTATTTTTTATTTGGTTAAGCGTATTTGCATAAAAAGTGTATTTTGAGGAAAAAAGTGAGAAAAAAAGTTAGGCTAAGGATAAGTTGCATAAAAGTATAATCTTGGGGTTTTTTGTAATTTTTACTATTATCTAAATCATCCAAATTCAAAATTTTAGAGTGTTTATAGATTTGCTCGATTTGCGTCATTTTTTGATATTTAAATTTTATAATTAGTTGTGAAAATAGATATTTAGGCCATGGATTTTCGGCACGGGAAATACATTTAACGAGATTTAGAGGCATGCCTTATTTTGATTGTCTCCAATTGACACCTTGTATAAACCACAATAATAGAACTGAAGGAATATTATATCTAGACCACCGTGATTACAAATTTGTAAAGAGAAAATCTATATTAAACCCTTTATCACCTTTCTGTTTATTTCTTTGCCGAACATCAAATCTACCATAGTTTTGGATCTTCAAACGGATGGATCTATGGCAAAAATAAAGTTTCTATGATTAAGATGTGTTTCATATCCTGAGTCCATGTAAAAAACAAGGCAGACATGCATTTATGGGAGACACAATAAATTGTTCATTGAAAATAACATATTATTAGGGGTGGAAAGGGACCCGGACCCGGGACCAACGATAAGACGCAACTCGGGTCCGGGCCCATGTGGATCCGAACCCGAATAGCATTGTTATTTAAATAATATTAACTAAATATTTAGTTAATAATTAAATAAATATAACTATATATTTTTAATTATAATATTTAAATAATATATCTATATATTTAAGATAATATTTAAATAGATTTATATTTATATATATTATTATTATTATTTTGGTCGGATCCAATTGGGTCCAGGTCCAGTCGGACCTGGAAGCGACCCGACCCATTACCAACCCTAGTTATTATGCGAAATAACGGCATGGTCCCCCAACTATACTATAGGGACCCAAATATCGGGCTTAAGAGCCATCTTTCATTCATTACTGAATACACACGTGTGTTGTTTGGGGAATGTTGTTGTGAAAGGGACAAGGCAGACATGCACATATGAAAATGGCCTTCATGTCCCAACAAAACACACATATTTCTTCCAGACTTTTGCTTCTTCCTGTCTCGTCTCTCTCACTCGTGCTGTTTTACCTGTATGGGGCGGCACGTGCAATCAATCTCCTTTGATGACTACATGATCTATGGCTGTCGATGTGCCACATGGCCACGTAACTGATGATGAATAATGCACCTTCTTCTCCTCATATCAAGCGTATCCAGGAAAAAGACCATTGTGGTAGATGTTTCTAATAGGGGGATGTATTTTAAGGGACTTTGCATGTTTGGCATTCCAAGAATACGACATTCCTGTGCCGTCTTATAGAAATTTGAAAATATGTATAATTTTTGGAAATGGGGTTAAGGTCGTGATGGTAGCACTACTAGAACTTCATACTATTAGTCTAGATTTTCATTCTCACTGACACATTTGAAATTTTTTCATTTCTAAAATTTTGAAAGATAAACTGTCTAAATAATGCACCACAAGATACATTAGGATTTCAAGTACCCTTTTATTCATATCTATACACATCTCTCGAGGTTAAGATGAATGATTATAGGTGTATGAGGTTAACGCTTCAGATGAGGCCGTGCCTAATTCTGAGCATTAGTGTACCTTGTCGTGGTATTTTAAGCTCCCTATTGGGCCTTTGAAATTTCGATGGAGAGATAGTAGTTGTTTAGTGAGCTTTTTGAGCTGGTTTCTTTTACTTCTTACATCTTCGGTCCCTCTCCTTCATATTGGCCTTTATGTTCTTCTCTTTTCCTTTTTTTTTTTTCTATTTCTCTTGCTTTTTATGGATAGATCTTTTGTTCATATTTGTTTGGTCACTTATTGTCTATGGACACCCTCCTGCATGCCGCCATGGTCTGTCTAATTTTCACATACGGGCGGCGCCTTAGTATAGGCTTCACGTCGCCCCAACCCTTATCCTTGAGGAGATTGCAAAAGGAAAGTTGTTTATTGAGTGCAAGTTCTTAAGTTAGGTTGTTTGTGAGGCTTCGATTCGTGGGTGGTTTTGGATACTTCGAGGTTTAGAGTTTTGATAGAGATTTAAAAATATTGTTGTCCATCTTTAAATGTTGGGAGTACTTTGTATTTTTTCTAGGTTTCTTTTTTTTGCTTTGTAGTTTTGGAGCTTAGCTCCTTTAATTAATGAAACAAATCTTAACATTAAAAAAAAAAAAAGGGTACGAATTTTTGGAGTATGTTTTACTTTTATGGTACAAAGTTGTTGACACCTGATGTAAACCTTTCTTTCTTTTAATTTTAATTAGAAAGAGATGGATTAACATTAGAGTTTCCAATGGTTAACCGATTCTAAAGAAGATAAAAAGACGCATGGGACACGTGTCTATGAACACGAGGTAGGTTGGTTACTCTTAGAGAGAGAGAGAAGAGAGGGGGCGCGAGTCATGTGGGTTTGGACCGCGCCGGAGCCATCGGGGAGCAAGGGGTGTGGTCGGGGTGGGTTCGGTTTCAATTGAGCGGGTGGACCCCACTGATTCAGCCAGGCTCTCGCCTGTCGCTTTGTCGCCACGTCATTATTGTCTCTCTCTATCGACCTCATAATCCAACACTTTCTTACCACGTCACTGTAATACCCCCCACCTGAAAAAAAATAAAATAAAAAAATAATAATAATAAAATAAAATAAAAATAAATAAATAAATTAAAGTGGAACGTTAAGTCGCGCGCTCCTTTCGCCGAATGATTCGTTCTCCGGAAATTTTGACGGCCTCGTTTGCTGGTGTTTGGGAAGCGTTCATCGTTCTTTTTAGTTGAGGTGACTAAATTCATCTTCTTATTTGAGGTGACCGAAATTCATTGAAACAAAAATCTTTTCAGTTATATAATGTATTTTTGTAAAAATCGTGAAAAAAAAAAAAAAAAATGTTTTTAGGACCTCATGTATTTTCGAAAAAAAAAAAAATGTAATTGTAAAAAATCATATATGACACCACCCTATAAATTACCTAAAAACCAAATCAACCCCACGCACTAGATTTTTATTTTTATTTTTTATCCACCCTTTTTCAAACAATAATAAACAAAGAAGAAAACCAACTTTTCTTTGTGTTTTATTTTATTTTATTTCAACCCTCGCAATGGCTGTAGCAAAATCTAATGATTATTGACAATAATATTGATGAATAAATATTTAAAATTAAATAATAGTTTTAAATATTTATCATCAAAATTGCTACAGTAAATAGAATATACATACAATTTAGCTTTTATAAATAATTTTCACTCCCACATTATTCTTATTATTATTATTATTATTATTTAAACTCCTTTCTTTTCTCATTTTCACTTGTCACGTATTTAACCGTCTCTCTCTTCCCTCCATTTTCACTTATTTAACCGTCTCCCTCTCTCACCTAAACAGACCCCATCCCCTCCTCGTAAGTTCTCACTTATTTAACTGCCTCTCTTTCATTTTCACTTATCTAACCGTCTCTCTCTATTTCAATTTTTTTTAAAATAAATTTATTATCCTCTCCTCTCTCTCTCTCTCTCTCTCTAGTCACTTGTCAGTTGTCACGTATTTAGGCGTCTCTCATCTTTCCCTCTCTATCTCTTCCCTCCTCTTATTTTGACACATTTCACAGCGTCCCACTAAATTCCATCTTCATTTTCACTCACTTATTTAACACACTCTCTCTCATCAAACCCTCTCTCTCTCTCCGTAGCTCGTCCCTTCCATTTTTACTTATTTAACTTCCTCTCACTATATTTCCTCTCTCATTTTTTTCTCACTTATTTAACCGTCCATCCCCCCTCTCTCTCTTTCACTTATCACTATCAAGTATCAATCACTCCCCCTTTCTCTCTCCTCATTTCTTACCTCCTATTTTCACTTTTTTTTTTTTTAACCGTCTCTCACTGTCTCTCTTCCCTCCTTTTTTAACACACACACACTCTCTGTCTCTCTCTCTCTGATATTTTCACTTATTATTACACACTCCCTCTCTCTCACATATTTTCACTTATTATTACACACACACTCTCTCTCTCTCTCTGATATTTTCACTTATTATTACACTCTCTCTCTCTCTCTGATATTTTCACTTATTATTTAACCGTCCCGCTCCACCCCTCGCCTGTCTTCAATTTTCGTCTTTTTAAATCCTCCCTCCCCCTCTCCTCTCTCTCTCTCTCTCTCTCTCCTTTTCGTTCAACTTATTTAACGTCTCACGATCCCCTCCCCTCCTCTCACTGTCCTCTCTCTCTCTCTCTGTCTCGCTCTCTCTCTCTAAATCTCGAAGGAGTGAGATCCTAAGGCGCTGGCAAGGAGCAAGGAGGTTGCAGACCTTCCTCGATCTTTCTCCCTCTGGAAACGATGGCTTCGCATTTTCTCTACCGATTCGTTACCCATTTATTCTTGCTGTAGACCTCTTGATCTATGCTCCTCCCTCTAATCCAGAGCTTTAATGGCGTTCTGATACTCAAATCCGGTAAACTAAGGTAACACAAACTCGTGAAAGTTACTTTTTGCTGTTTGTGTGTGTCCAAAACGTTATGCATTTGAATGCATTATGATCCATCCGCTATCTCTAACCGCGAGAGTCCTAGCAATCTATTATGGATTTATGTTTGTGCTTGATTGTCCATTTTGTGTCTTGGACGTGTTTGGATCGACGACAGTTTTAATCCACTGTGGATTATATAATATGCTTGCATAATCCTTTGAGGTTTGAAAACCTCCACTGTTTTTCCTTTGTTCTCAGTCATTTATGCATGTTGTGTTTTTAGTAAGAAATGGATTCTGATTATCGTTTTCACCTGGTTCATTTTTTTGTATTTTTTCTTGGATTTTATTTATTTAAGTAGAAAGTTATTCATTGTTTAACCTTTTTTTTTGAACCGATTGATTTCCTGGTGTACTTGTTTTATTTTAAGTTTTTATGTGAGCTGATTATTATTGTTATGATTATTATTTTGATATTTTTAACTTTTGAGCTGATTGATTTTATTTTGTGCTTTTTTCTTTTGTAGAGAAAAAAATTATTTATGTTTCTCTGTAAAAGTGTAGTTAAGTACTCTTTTGGTTGATTCATATTCATTGTGGTGACATTTGGGGTTTCATGATTTGACCATTGTCTTATGTTTAGTACTCGTGTAAGGATATAATTTTGATTTGAAATATAAGGCATTTGGCTAATTTCCATTTAATTTTTTTGATCCCCTGGTTGTTTGGTCGAATTGAAAATGTTTCTCAAGGAATACCTTTCATTTATTTTGATCTTTTTTTTTAGAGTAATTCGTGTGAGGAATTGAATAAGCATGTTTCTGGCAGTGCTCAAAATGGATGTCACTACATTGGAATAGTTATGAAGTTGAGGAAATTTTATTTTGGCCCCTAATTCCAGCGTCTCTCTTGTTCTCTCAGGGAAACAAATTTTAATTTATCAGCTTTTCCTTCATATCTTCAATTTATGGCTTTCATAAAAGTAGGATTTAATTTCATGGATTAAATGGTTTCAAGTTATTTGCCCTTTTTCTACTGAAATGAAATCCCTTTCTGACTATATATTGCCTTTCTTGGAGCGTGCAAATTATTTGCTTTATTATATTTTGGTATTCCTTGCACATGGAAATTGAGGCCTGATTTGGGGGTGCTTATTGCTGTAGTTGCCAGTTGTGAAGAAACTGAGGATTTTATTAAAACCTGCAAATTGAGCTTCACAAAATGGATGATGGCCTAAAAATGTACACATCAGACCAGGTAAATGGGCTATCTGATTTGGGTAAAGAAGCAGATGGAAATTCTGAGACTTCACCTCAAACTGATGAATCGGTGGTGTTCAATTCGCTCAAAGGGGAAGTGGAAGCTGGACCCACTTCTACCAAAAGCAAAAACTCTGTCCATGCCAAGGTAGCTATCGTTTTCTGTTTTTTTTTTTCTTTCTGATCAGTAATATTACTCTATTTTCCACTGCCAAATATGACCCTATTGGTTGGGTTGCTTGTGTTTTGATTGATGTGAGCCGAGTTTCTTTTATACTTCATTACAGAGAAAAGAAGCAAATACATTTTAAAAACAGAGTATTGCATGACTATACAGACCCTTGCTTGACATGGCATACTCTTTTGTGTTATGTAGGACTTAGGAAGTGAAAAGCCCAATCGCTCTAAGTCACAGAAGGCTCAAGGGAAATCTGGGAAATCAAATTCCAGCATTGAGAAGCCCCAAAGCCCGAAAAGAGTTGTGGCTACTTGGGTGAAAAAGAACAAAGATGGTAACCATACAGATGGGATAGCATCACATGTTTCTAATGGTTCTGTTACTTCGACTTCTCGTTCAAAGCACAATGCCATCCAGCCTTTTGCCCTTGTAACCAACAGGGGATCTCTCAATGGGGTGCACCCTGTCGACAGTAATTTAGATGGTGGTTCAGGTCAACAGCTTAGATCCAAGTCTATGCCAATTTCAAGGCAGCCCAAGGTAGATAAATTTGCCTGGATACTTAAAAATAGGACCTGTATCCTTTTGAGAATACTTTGAGAACATATTAGAAATACCGATGATTGGGTTTTGTTCCCTTGTGTGTCTTAAGATTCTTATTCTTTCAGTAAGGAACTGATTTAGTGGGTGTGATTGTGAATGATAGCGTGCAAATATTGTTTTAGTTTTGGTTTTGGCTTGCTTCTTTGTGTTGGTTGTACTGATATGTGTGGCTTATGTTTGATTGAGCAGCATTCTGGGAATAGTGGATCAGCTTCCTCCGCTTTTAAGGCCTCACAGTCAGAAAGCACCAAGTAGGTTTGCTTGCACTCAAGTCTTACGTTAAGCTATGCAAGACTTGTTGTAACATGTCATTTATCGAGTATTGAAATCAATTCCATTCTGTGTGTGATTGGATTCTGATCAGATTGTTTCTCTCTTCCTGGGACATGTCACTTTGCAGATTAGAGGACCAAAATCTAAAGCCGTCCAAGGGAGAATCATCCAACAAAGATGAAGAAGATGCTCATTCTACTTCTTCGTATCCTTCTTGATTTATAATTGACAGGCACACACATATAAATGGAAACAGAACATGCACTGCCGAGTAATTTTTACATCCTTAGCTCACAGGCCAAAAACTCCAAAAAAAAAAAAAATCCATCTGGGGAGATTTGTTTGGCCCCAAGTTTTGTAGAGGACCCATATTCATCCCAATGAACAAGCTCATGAACAAAAATGCGGAAGGGAATCCACTCAAAATGGTCTTTTTTTAGGAGAGAGAAAATGCAATGCATAAAGCCTCCTGTTTTAGGAAAGAAGTCAAAGAATAAGCGGTTTTAAAACAAGGCCATAAGGGATTTGTTTGACCCCAAATTTTGTAGATGTTCTTATCATCAGTAGATGGCCAGTTTAAAAATAGAAAAAAAAGTTGATTTTGAGTTATTAAAGACTTGGATATAAAATGGACAGCCATTGTTCACTAAATTCTCTCTCATCTAATGCAATCTATTTTCCTTTCATCTATTTTTATTTTATTTTATTTTTATTTTTATTTTTAATATTGTTTAGTGGGTTCAAGAGTGTATATGTGCAAATTATGGGGTCAAACACATCATGGATCAGTTTTTTCAGGAGTTTTTGGCTTGTGAGCTGATGATGTAGAGATTAGCTTCGGAGTATGCAAGTCTTCCACACACACACATATAAGAGGAAGGGATTTCATGTTAGTGTTTCATAATAATATAATGACATGACTCCTTTTGAAAACAATGTTTTGTATGACCCAAAATTTCGCACATGCACTCTTCATCCCGATAATCCCCCTCCCATAAAGAGCAAAAAAACCCAGATTTGCACCCTAGCAAAGGTCAAAATGAGTCCTTCCCAACTAAGGATCTAGTTGTCCATTTAGTGGACATTGAGATGAAGATCCTTAAAAACTCAAAATCCATTTTTTTTCCTAAAATTGTTCATCTAATTAAATTTGGGATGAAAAGGAATCCCTTTAAAGCCTAGATCTAAGCGTCCAATGAAATGGAGGCCGTATGTTTATTAAGTTAAGAAATCACTTTTATAGTTGCATTTTCAAATTTTGGTTTCTTAAGAGTGTTCATCTTAATGAAAACAGTGTAAGTTAAGTAATCACTTTTAGGGTTGCATTTTTGAATTTTGTTTTCTTGTGATTGTTCATCTGAATGAACAAAGTGTACATTTCAAAATTGGGGTGCAACAAGTGCGTTCATCACCGTTCAAATTCCATCAGATAGCCTTGGTTGTCCGATAGTGTTTGAATTTTATTTTATTTTTTTACAAATCCAATTCACATGAAACTTTGAGGGTGTGTGCCCTCATAGGCACACCTAATAAAAATTTAAAAAATATTTCACATAAGATAAATGATTATAATACTTCTATAATAAGTTAGGGTTCTTTTGGTTATTTTATTTTAGGTGAAATATCTTTTATATTTTATTGGGTGTGTGATGGTGTGAGATACACGCCTCAAATTTATCTAATTAACCAAAAAAAAAATTTTGAATACTATCATGCGATCCCAACCATCTTAATTCGATCAGGTATATATATATATATATATATATATATATATATATATATATATATAGTACGTACGTACGTACTACTACCTTACCTTTACGTTTAGGTTTAGGGTTACGGTCGTTAGTAGTTAGTTTACTTTTCGTTTCGTTAC